CCCCCCCCCCAACACTGTACCATTGCACCAACCCCCCACTAGTGACGACGTACCATTACAATGTATCGCTGGTTGGTGGCCATGCTTGCGTATGTGCTTGTCGTTAGTGGTCTCTTCACCGTGTGCCTTTTTCTGTCTCTTATTTCTTGTTATTTTCGGCCTAGTTCCTTTTTGTCCTCGCTGTTTTTTTTTCATTTTCTCTTTCCTTACTGTTTCCTTTTATTTTCTTCTCTTTTTCTCTTCTTCTCTCTTCTTCTGTGCCAGATGGCCTTGTCTCTGCTTGCGTTGTGAAGTACCAAGATTGAACCAAGGGGGTGTACCTCATTCTCTCCGGCCAGTGATGGTGACTCCTTGTCTCAGCTGTTACCTCACATATAGCGCGCAGAGGGAGTGGAGGACTCCAGAATATCTGTCGTTGATTTCTATTGACTTGCGGATCCCTCGGGGCCCTTTTATTTGAGTGTACCTTTGTAGGGTAAGTTAGCCTGCGACCACGGGAATCGACCGCGTCGAGTGCTGGATCAGTACGGACATACGAAGGTACTGGATAGAGAGAGATCGGAACGGTTTGTAATGTGAAGACAACAACAACAACAGCAACAACAACAGCAACAACAACAGCACGCGCCCAGCAAGAGGGCTGCCTCCGACTCTTGGCGGAGTCATTCGCACAGTCTTTGCGGGTCAGTCGGAAGCGGGGCGCACTTCTTCAAGCTTGGCGATCGGCGGATAAAAGAGCGACAGGAAAAAGAAGGATGGCCGGAAAAACTGCTGCTGATCAGCAGCAGCAGCAGCAGCAGCAGCTCCTGCTGCAGGCCAAGGCAGGAAACGCACGAGGAGTCAGAGCGACGATGGCGGCAGGAGCAAGCGTGAACGGGTCCCCAACGTAGGGACGGCCCCTGATAGCCGCGGCCTATCGGGGGCACGTTGGCATCGTCAAGTTTCTGGCGAAGCGAGGCGCTCAGCCGGAGGCCGCCGCCAGCAATGCCGATCAAAGGGATGAGCAGGGAAACATTCGGTTCCCGATGTGCTTGACGGCCTTGCACGCCACGGTTTACGGCGTCCACGTCGAGGCCGTCCGCGCCCCCCGAACTCCATGGACGTCAGGGGCTGGACGCCGCTCGACGTGGAATGCACGATGTTTCGAGCCGCGCCGCGATACGCCATCGCGAAAGAGCTGCTCACGGCGGGCGCCGACCTGGCGAAGGTGAACTTCGACGGCAGGCTCGCGATACACTGCGCGACGAGCAGGGGGGGACTCGGCCGTCATCCAGATGCCCCTGGCCAAGGCGCCCGAAACCATCAACCACTTCGACATGAGCGGCCTCACACCCTTGTGCGACGCCGCCAGGGAGGGCCACCCCGACGCCGTATCCTTCCTGCTGGCCAACGGGGCAAGCGACGAGGAGGCGATGGCCCAGAGGGGCGTGTGCGCGCTCATGGTCGCGGCGCAGAAGGGCCACTCCCGAGTGGTGCGGCTCCTCCTCGACCACGGGCTAGAGGTGGTCGGCGGCGTCCCCGCCGTCCCGGAAGCCATCAAGTACGCAACCCAGCTCTAGCACCCGAGGATCCTCTGGATGCTGCGGGGCGCGGAAGGCCCGCAGAGGTGGCAGCACTGGGCGACGCTCCCGCTGCGGAACTGGCCCCCGCTCTATCACGCCGCGACCATCGGGTCGTACTCTTCGGCGAAGGTGTTGCTAGCGCGGGGGCGGACGCCACGGCGGTATCCGCCTTCGGAGAAAAGATCGAGGAGGTCGTCGGATCGTCAAGCTGGTAGAAGTGGAGGATAGGGGCCAGAGGGGCAGACGACAGGGTCGAATGATGGAAGAAAACAGAAAAAAATGATAAAAATACCTCAGGCAGGAACCGCAGGAGGGGGTCCAACCTCCCCTTCCCATGTGACCCCGGTTGGGTCGTCTAGCTGGGTAGAAGTGGAGGATAGGGGCCAGAGGGGTAGACGACAGAGGCCAATGATGGGAGAAAAGAAAAAAAAAATATATATATATAATATTATACATGTGTGTACAAGTGATCAGCTCCGGAGTGGGCTCATGAGAGCACGGCAGAGTCTCATCAAGGGGCGATGCGAGAACAAAGTAAAAGCAGGGATAGAGCCTCAATCCACGGCTGGCTTCCAGAAGCGGTGTGACTTGTCTCACTCAACGACTCACAGAAGCTGGCATGTCTCTGACTTGAACAGCCCGGCGAACCTCAACGCTCAACGAAGCAACAAGAAAATGTCACAAATCTGTAAAGTCTTGCACTACCGTACTCTATGCGAGAAGCGGCAAGGAGGGCCCGTCGTGTAGGGTCCCCGTCCGCACCTTGTTCTTACTCGAACAACGCGCGTACAAGACCGGGTGCGGTCCATACGTGCCGTCTTTCGTGCGTGCGTGTACGCAATCAAGTCCGGCCAGACTTGACAGCGGCCACACAGCAAAACGCAAGAGTGAAGACACCATCAAGCTTGTCTCATGTCCCCAATGGGGGTCGATCAGCAATCTTTTGTGGAATGTCACGCGACGAGCCTTCATGATATCTTCGGGTTTTCGGCAGTTACGTTTTAGGCGCCCGTTCTTCCCGAGTGCACTAAAACTATAGCTTGCAGAGTGCTGGGCGTAGAGACCGGCAAGCGGGGGATGCATAGATAGGTGTAGAACTAGTGCCCACAACAAAAAAACACAACTGATCAGACCGTAGACTCCCGACCTCCTATGTGGCCAGAGTCAAGTGGCAGTTCTTGCGGGTCACAAGTTTGTTGTTCCCCGCGACACATGCACCGCAGGTGAGATGCCAGCGAGAGGCCAAAGTCGAGGATAGCGTTTCCGTTCGTCACAGGGTGCGACGTAGCCGCTACACGTACGGCGGGGTACGTACATTGCGGCCGTACGGGGCACTACAGCAGTCATCCTCCAACTGGTGTGGACCGTAGCCGACACGACGGACAGGAGGACCCTGAGAGACAACACAAGAGCACGGATCATTTTCTGGCTTCTTCATACAGCTCTCGCGCAAAGCGAACTCTCTGCTTGATTGGAAATCATGTCGTGAACCAAACCACGGCAACGCGGTTATTCCGGCAGAGCATGCGTCTCCAATCCACAGCCAGGGACCAGCTAAATATATTGTTTCCTCAATATATTACCATAGCCTTTCTTCATACACACATTACTAGGAACTACAGGCAGCCATGGTCGTCGCCATCGTGCGGGACACGCGAAACAAAGCGTGTCGCCAGCGACATGATTGGCACTGCTCTAATTTCTACCACAATGAGCAGTGGCAAACGCAATGTTGACTCGCCCCCCTCAAAATCAGACCGCTGCAAGTTTACCCCCCCGCTCTGACGTAAAGTACGGGCACTCATTTGTGGGCAGTCCCCCTTGCGAACTGACTGGGACACATTTGGTTTCGCCCCCGACCCTACCCGAATTCCCCTCTTCAAGCTTTCCTCGGTCCCACGTGCAACCGCGTACCATGCCGGAGAAACAAATGACGGGGTTTGAAAAAAAATAAAAACCGCGGAACCCAACAATTCGTTGACGCCCCCCCGCCCTAGTTGACGTCTGCGTCTGCCGGTCCCCCTCCGTCCATCCTTTCACTACGCCCAACCATTCGTATAGCTGATCAATAATGAAAATGATCGAAACATTGAGCCCGACCCTGCTGCTTCTGCTGCTGCTGAAGATGACCACTCGGTTCCCATCTCTGCCCTTTCATGATCGCCACACTGGGCGCCAAAAGTGTCCACCGCAAAATTTCCTACCCTAACAGCAACAGCAACAGCAACAGCAAATCACGCCTCGCGCCGACCGTCCCATCCCGGCACGGAAAATAACAAATAACAGCCACGGGGTCCCCCGTCGTGGCGCAGCAATACCATACCAACCCCGAGGCAAGCAAGCGTTGCGATAACCTCCCCCTCCCCCCCCCCTCCAACCCTCGAGAGGGGTCTGATTCTTCCTTCCTTGTCCAGGGCTAGAAGAACAAGTGATTTTACTCCTCATTCACAACAGAATGGTGTTCCTTTTCCTCAGAAACCCATGCCCCCTCCCGGCCCCATCATTCCAGGGCCGGGCATGCCCCCCATTTGCGGCATGCCCCCCGGCGCCATCCCCCCCATCCCCATCCCTGTGGCCCCTCCTCCCATGCCCATGGACAGGTCGCCCATCTGGCCGTAGCCTCCCATCTGGCCAGGGACATTGAAAGGCGTGTTGGTCAAGAGAGCCGGGCCGCCGTTCATCATCCCCGGGTCCATCATGCTGGCGGCAGCGGCGGCGGTGGCGGCGGCGGCGGCGTCCTCCTCCTTGTCCACGGACACCTGGTCGTCAGGCAAGGTAAGGGGTCACGGTATATGCAAGGGTTTAGCACTGTACATGGCACCTCCTACAAGATGGGGGCAAGATTATTGTACGGCAGACGCAGGTTGGGCAGAGGCGTGGACGCCCAACGGCCGTTCACATTAAGACTCACGCTTCATATTGACGGAGAGCAGTAACATGAAAAAAATCTCAAGAGAAGCTGGCCCAGCGGCAGGGTGACGGCAATAATGCTATTGGGGTCCTAGAACCAATCAAATAAACCAAACAAATCCGTAGTGTACCGGTTAGCCTTTTTTTCATTTTTGAGTATTTTCTTTTTGCTTGGGTAGAAAACAATCGCGCCTTGGAGGATTTTTTTTTTCGGGTGTCCAGATGTAGTTTTAGAAGGTGTAACCCCCCTTTAGGGGCAGTTAGCCTGTGACCACGGAAGGCGTCCGCGTCAGTTGGACCAGTACGGACATTATAAGGTACTCAGCGGAACGGTTTTTATTGTGGAGACAACAACAACTTAGCGCACCTTGGTGCGGGTGTCGATGGCCTCGACCTTCTCGTGGAGGTTGCGCAAGTACTGGATCATAAACGGCATCGCGTAGTCCGTGTAGCTGAAAGAGTAGAACCGTGGCAGTGTACATAGCGTGCGGTGAAACAAGAGTGTGTCAGTGCGGGCGGGGCAGAGCGGAGATACAAAGTGTCAAGGGTGTACCCTGCACAAGCAGGGTGTGTTGGAGGCGTGCCTTTCAACGTTAAATGAAGTACATAGCATCGAACACGCGCGCCTGACAGCGAGAGAAAGGTATCGGTCCCAAGTGGGAAAAAAATAGTCAACATGCTGTTAAAAGTCGGCCTCAAACACTCTGGGGGCAACCTAGCACCCATCACCCATCACGAACACCGTACCATGGTACCGCTAAGACAGCCCCCCCCCCCCCCCCCCCCCCCCCCCCCCCCCCCCCCCCCCCCCCCCCCCCCCCCCCCCCCCCCCCCCCCCCCCCCCCCCCCCCCCCCNCCCCCCCCCCGTCAGGCAGCTTAATAAAATACATGACGTGGCGTCAAAAACATCACCTTATTCGCCAATATTGAATCACCTGGTCGATAAGCTTCAATAACCGCCCACCCTCTCACCCACCAAGTCAAGCCGCTTCGCGTGGGCCAACGCAACCCCTCTGTCCTCGTCAAGGGGCGAACGATCCAACATCTCCATCCACACACGGCGACAACTGATATGTAAGAGTGGGAAAGAAATAATGGACTCACTTGTTGCGCCAGGCAAGCTCCATCGCAACGTCTGGCCGCACGAGCGAGTAGCACGTGTACAGGGCCGCGCAGAAGCACTCCTTGTCCCCGATGTTGACGAAGAATGACAGCAGGTCTTCCGCAAGAGAAGAGTCGCCCGACTCCGCCGCCGTGTCGATGGCGTCCTGAAAAAAAAAAAAAAAATGCAAGAGGTGCAAGAGGGGGGGGTAGACGATTGGGTTCGTGCTTTGCCCGTTGATGTTGGTCTGCTGCGATTTGGCAAGCTTAGCGACGCAAAATAACGTGCGGGAGGGGGGGCAAGATAATTGAATTGGTACTCTGCCTGTTGTTGTAGTTGGTCTGCTTAACAACTCTACAATCAAAGCGACGCTGCCCAACCGTAATCGAGCGCAAAAGGCGGCCAACATACTACAAACTCAGATCAATTATAGGTACGAAAAACGCACATGTCCATCCTCCGCTGTTTGTCTACACGCTGTTTGTCTCAACGCACATGTGTACCACACGAAAAACACACTTGTTCATCCTTCGCTGCTTGTAAAAACGCTGCTTTTCTAAACGTACATGAGTACCACACCAGCGGCGATGCACACCGGCAGAGAGACAGGACGCCAAAGGCCTCGCCACTCATACGGCCGAAGTGTCGCGACTCGATCTAACCATGCCCGTGCTCTTCAGTCGACTCTTGCCGCAAGCACGATCATCCCTAGCCTACGAATCGAAGCGACTTCTCTCACCTTGTACATCTTGTCCCCCTTGCTGAGGGCGACGGACTGCTGAAACCGCCGGTTCTTCTTGTACACGTACGCGGAGATGCGCCTGAACTCCAGCAGCTCGTGCTTCTCGATGCGCTGTGCCAGAGCGACCTGCGGAAAATTTCACGGGACACGGGACAAAGGCAGACAACGTCGGCTTGAACTTTAAACGAACCATGCGATATTTTTCGGGGGGAGGGGGAAGAGGTAAGATCAGGGCCTAGAACGAAACCCGCAGTCAGTGGATATTGAGCTATCCAAGAGAAACAAAGGAACAAGCACTGGGGGAAGCATTGAGAGGCACACTTGCTACGCGCTGCGTGTGTCAAGTCCTTGGTACACCTGTTCGATGTTGGGGTCCTCCACAGCAAAAACAAAAAACAGAAACGAGTCGGGACGCGTACTGTATATCGAGAGCGCTACTGGGTGGTCTAGCGAAGGCGTTCGCAGCCGTTGGTTCAAAATGAGAGATGTTGTACACAGGGTAACGCGCAGTATCGTGTAAGTTGGGTTGTTACCTGGTCGAAGTTGTCGTAGTCGTCTACCGACTCTCTCAGCTTCTCGTGGTCCTCGTCCTCGATGTACAGCTCGCTCAAGGCCTCGTTCACGGCAGCCACATTCTCCTAAAAGAAAAAAAGAGGGGAAAGAGACCGACGACACAGACACCATCAATCACAGCAACGTTGCAACGAGTATTCTACGAGAAAGAGGGGCGCGTATCTCTCGACCGACAAGCAGCCGAGGGACGTCTTTAGGAAACTTTTGCGGCGGACGTTCTCCAAGGAAAAGGCACCGACGTCACCACTTTAACCAAGAGGCCAAGAGTCCTATCCTCTCTCTCTGTCGGGCGGTTCACCGCACATCCATAGATAGCTTTTCCGCCCGGTCTTGTCAATCTGTCCCGTGCCTCTGCACGCTTGTCTCTGTCTCTGTCTCCGGTACAGAGGAACACCCTCGGGATAGACCTGATTTAATTTTGTCTGCCATTGTACCCCCTCCTGTTCTCACCTTCTGCACGGACTTGAGGTAGTCTACGGCGAGTGCAAACCAGACTGAGGGCCAAAAAATCGTCTCTTTTCCAGCTTCCCACCCTTCAAGCCCGCCTACCCACCTCCTCGCCCCTGTCCGTGTGCCCCCTCCTGTTCTCACCTTCTGCACCGACTTGAGGTAGTCGATCGCGAGAGGCAGGTTCTCCGCTTTCCTCAGCTGGTGAACCACGCGACTGTGGTCCAGGTTGGGGGTAAGCACCTCCAGCAGCCTGACGAGCTTGAGAGGGTGCTGCTCCAGGTAAAAGGCGATGGCCTTGTAGTTCACCTCCTGGTTTCGTACCTAGAAAACGTTTCGATCGGGGTGGAAATGGGACACGAGGACGGGCCGTACTCATGTTTCTCACGCCTGAGATAGCTGACACACCACGGACCACAGAGGACGGGGCATTTGTTCCCGCACGAACCCTTCGCCGGTGGCCAAATCGGGGCGGGGCAGGGTTGTCGTGTGAAGGGTGGGAATGGTCGAGAAACCTACCTAACACAACAACTACATTTTTCATCCACTTTTTCTTGCACCCAAACATCAACACGAGCACCCACAAGCATCGGCACCAGGAAAGCCACGCGCCCGACAACAAAGAGAGCGTAACCAACGAAAAAAAAACTACCACAAAACACGACCATGCCGATGGATGCGGAAACATCCGTGCTTCGGTGTCGTGCTGTTTAGCGGTAGGTTGTCCTGCGCCATCCAGCCACATGAGGAGAGACACCAGCGGCAGCAAGAGCAACAGAGGGTCACCCACCTTGGTAACACAGTCGAGGAACAGCTCGTGCTTGAAGCAGACGCAGTGGTCGATCATGGTCTTCACGGCGGAGTCGTACTGTCCGTCCTCCTTGTACAGGTACACCGCCTCGTCCCACAGGAGAGCCCTCTCGCACGCGCGCAGCACCTGAATGAACCAAAAAAAAGGAAATGAGGGTTCGATCAGTCAGACATGGGAAGCCACAACAAGAGTTGCAAGGTGCTACCGTTCAACCCCATTGCATCCACCGCCACAACTTAAATTCAACTCCACGACAACAAGACCCATTTACCGTTCAACTTCATCGCATCAACCACCACCGCCGCCGCCTCAGCAAAATATCCCCATGTCACACACCTTGGTGACGTTGCAACGGGACCAGAATATCTTGATGTGCTCCATCAGCTTCTCGGGGCTGTACTTGGAGTAGAGCACCGCCAGCTCCGAGAACACCCCGGAGTGGGCCTCCTCCAGACCCAAACCCTGCACGCGCAAACAACAAGCGCGAAGGTCAGCAAGACTTCAGATTTGCAGCAGCAACGGTGGGGGTGGACGTCACCATGTGGTCTGCCTATTAGCTTAGATCCGAGGGGTGCCCGTGCCCTTGCTCGGGTGGCACCGGAAATCAACACAAAAACACCTACATCAGCACCACACGGATGTATAGATCAAGGTGACAACAAGAAACGCATCATCACCCATATTTCCAACAACACACCTCAGCTCGCACAATATCATGGATTCGGTGCACCACAAAACTTTGCGGGGAGTGCTCTGTTTAAGATATACTTAAATGTACTTCATCTATCTATTCGGTTTTGGGCAGGACATCAATCAGCTCACCTGCTCCATGAGCTGGATGAGCTCCGTGGGATGGCCCGCCCTCTCGTAGTGCTGGATGAGCTCCTCAACGTGGTCGGGGTGCTTGAGGATGTGCAGACCACAAACACCGGCGAGTCGGAACTCGTCCGCGCGCACACACGCGTAGCAGACCTGAACACAACAACAGCAGTTTCGGGGAAAGGGGAGGGGTCACCACACACGTGACTGTCTAAAATAACGGGGGGGGGGGGGGG